TCAAATGAATTTGAAATTAAATCTTATCACTTTCTTCTGCTTATGGGGGGGGGGAGGAAGTGGCAAGAAAAATAGAAAGAAATGATATTCTTCCATAATTAAAATATTTGCAATGTACGTAATTTTTATTTGAGGAAATTAAGATGAATTATTAGATTAGGAAAAACAGAAAATCACTTTTATCCACCAAGATAAAAGAAAAAAGACTGGCAAAGTCATATTATGAAGTCTAAATTAACAACTTTTGTTTTCCCCTGTATATTTGCCAACACATTCAATTGATACTTAAACCTGGTTTTACATTAAAACCCCACTAATATAAGTCACACCATAAAATTAATAATATATACGATTAAGTATTGCAAAGATACTTTTCTGACTTTAAGTTTTTTCTCTAACAGTTAAGTCTCCTAAAGAATTATTGTGCTAAGAGATAAAATGTTAAATTTAACTACAATATAAACTCCTTAAAAATAACTTAAATAATGATTTTTAACACACTATATATAGTAGACAATCTAAAAACGATAACTCAAATAAAGGAATGGACTGAAGTTTTCGAGATAAAATAAGGACCATTAGAGCATTTATAAAAAGTCGAGGTTAGAATTTTATTTACACAATGATCATATATCTTTAGTAAACAGCTTTTTGTTTTTAAATTGTTTTTTCAAATTCTTCAACACTCTGTGAAGAAGTACAAAAACTTTCCTGATAAGCAATGTTTTTCATTAAATAATATGGTCAAAAGCTGGTCTGCTGTAGGATTGAAAAAGAGTAAATATAGCTAACTGAAGAAAACAAAGGTAACATACCCTTTGAAAAAGTCAAAAGAGAATCAAATACTATTAATAATAGGGAAAATATTTTTCAAGTGCACATGCTAGCTGTTGCTGATAATATTATTGAAGCGGTTCAGATTACTCAAACATGTGTGCACATTATTAGATATTCAGATTGATTTTGTGGAAAGCACAGTTTTGAAAAAGTGGATAGCTTCATATATTTGTAGAGCCTGATCAAAATGTGAAGCAGTCAGAAGCTGATAAGTTATCCGAGGCTTGATCTATTACAATTGAGCCAAAATCAATCATGTTTTTCATTACAGTGTATTTTTTTAAAACGGAATTTTCCATTCCAGATACAGGTATAAAAAAATATATAGATAATATATAAAAAGATAATATATATAAAAAAAAAGAATTATTTTTCAGAAGTTCCATAAAAATTTTTAAAATTGGTGGAAAAGGAAAATAAGGTTATTTTGATGTATTTGTAAAATCCACAGCATACAATTTTTCTTAAATTTAAAAGAATAAAGCAATTTCAAATTTCTGACATTTAAAAGCAAAAATGGTATCTTGAAAGAGAAAATTTCCAATAATGAAAAACTGCTACCACATTTAAGGACCATGGAAACACTGCTTAAAAATTTTAAAACTCTTAATATTAGTTAGTTTAAATAATTTGTTTTGAATTGTTATTTTATGTGTACTGAGCAAAAAAATTAACTATTAATATTACATAGAAAAACAAAGTTCTAAGAAATTATAAGCAATAAATATGCTACTTATTAAGAAAAATATATTTTTATAATTCATTCTTCAGTAGTTTTGAATTATTCAGTAATAGTTACAGATTTAAAATATACATTTTTGTTTCTTAAACTGTCAATAGTTGAAAAAAACTCACCATGTAATTATAAAAGAAGCAGCAACATTTCTTAGGAAAATGAAAAACTTTTGTCAGTGGAAAAAAAAAGACAAACAATTTGGGAGAAAAGATTCTGATTTTTATAAACTTATTTCACCCAGAAAAGTTCAATTGTTTCATAGGTGGCTACAGAGAGCTAACTAGAAACATCAAACTGTTAGGACTTCAAGCAAAAGATCACCAATAAATAACATTAGAGAAATGCAATGGGCCATCTGTGAAAATTTGCCTTCCATCTTATTGTTGAGAGATACATACATCTTTCATAATTCATTCCTTTGCCTACTTAGCAAAATTTACACTTAAAATACAGAATACAACTTTACTAACCAAGAAAAAAAAATTACTTTTTCTCCCATAAATTTTAAGTTCTACAGAGGAACTAAAGAATTTAGGAGACAGGAGCTTCAGTACAAGTAGCCCCTTCATCTTACCCATGAGAGCACAGGTTAATAACTGTAGTACTAAAACTCTAAAAAAATACAGAAAAACTAACAAATGGAAATAGATTTTTCAATAGCCTAAAAAAAACATCACAGATCTAGTTTCTTAAAACTTCTAAATAAATGACTGATGCATAATAAAATCTAAAACATCTGTTGCATACATCAAAGACACGAGCATTAACTGCACACGATGAAGAGATCATTGAAATTTAAAAAAATTATAGCAAGGTAGGAGGAGGGCAAATTCTGAACTGTACGACATGCTTAAAGAACCTGCCCATACATTAACTATGATGCAGTCACTCCAATTAGTCTTCACAAGTAAATAGTGCATGTAAAAGAATTTTTTATTTGATGTTTCTCCAAGTCAAAACACTTAAGGGAAAGAAATACAAGCAGGAAGTTCCTGACAAAGGTTGATCGACTACCCCAAAAAACGGATCTAAAGATCTTTGATGTAAACATTTAGAAATATGTTGCTAAAAGTAAATATGTCCACAGAAAACTGCTGAAGGACAAGCCTAGTGTAGGGCTATCAAGCTACTGAGAAAAGAACATTCACAAAATATTTCAATACTTCAGAAAAACAAATATTGAACTTCAGATGCTTTTTCTCCTCGTATATATAAAACAAACTTAAAGTGAGAATACAACTTAAATAAGCATGAGCATTAAAAATGACCTTAATATTTCCTTAGAAACTTATTACGCATATTGCATTAACTGATCTCAATATAAATGAAAAACTGATAAAGCATTTAAAATACTCAAACATTTCAATCTTTTACTACATTCTAGTTTTACTACTTAAAGTAGAAATTGAAAAAAGTTTTAAAACACTGATCATAGGTTATGTTACTTTGGCACACCATTATATCATGACTGTCATAAAATTATTAACACAGACACTTTCCACATTTCGCCGAACCTCCTAATGAGGTTGGGGACAAAAACGTCCAACAGCATTAGCATGCTGTGAAATGTTGAACTATTAATGTATTAAGAGTGAAACAGCCTACTCACTGGTTAATTGAGAGATTAAGAGGCTTATAACTCAGCATCCAATTGCTCATTAATTCAATTCCACATTCGGCACAAAAGTAGAAGAAACACTGTGCAAATTTTTAAAATATTAATTAGAATGGGGAATTTCAAAAATTAATCAATACTTAAATGCTACAAGTTATCAACCAATTAATAAAAAAGATAAATTCTGTTGACAAAGAAAACTTATTACCAAGAATAAATGAATAAAAAAGGAAATTTCCAGTTAAAATATTTAAATAAATGAAAGACATATTCCGATGCAAGTAAAACAAAGAAAGATATGATTTTTAAAGAAATGAAAACAAGATTAAACACAAAGGCAAAAAAGTTGTTAATTTTTTCTTAACGTAAATTATTTTAGGTAACAATTTAACTATTAACAGATCTATTAATAAAGCAATCCAGACAAAAGATTTATATTATACTAAGTAGGGCCAATGTAGTATGCCTTACTTTAATGTAAATTTTTAAGCACTAATATAAACAGATATATATTTTAACTTTATGCTATAAAAAACAAACAAATGCAAATTTAAAATTATAATCATCAATTTTCTTGACCTTAAAAAAGTCCACAATTTTTTAGCTATTCTAATTTATATAATAAACTTTTTAAGAAACGTAATTACTCCTAAAAGATCATTCGCTATAGTTAATTTTAAACAGAGTAATTCACTCAAAGATCAACTATATCTAGAACAAACCTTGATTGGGATATTTTTTATTAAAAGAAAAATACATATTCGGAATAAGAATAAGTTAGTTCTTAAATTCAGTTAATTCTTCATTTTTAGAACTAACATAAGAAAATTAATTATTATTAAATGTTAAAAAGTTTATAAAGTTAATGCTTCATAAAAACACATTGTTAAACTTATTTGTAGGCAAGGTTGGGAAGATATATAAATTTTTACACTTATAAACGAAGCGAACACATAAGCGAAGATTTATAAATCTACAAAAATGACTTTAATTTAAAAAGTTAAGGTACAAAAAGGCCCAAGTTTATCATAGAAAATAAAATTTAATATTATATTTAAGCATTTAAAAAAAACATTTTAAGTGTCTAAGTTACTTTGAAACTTTTTAAAATCGTCAAATGCTATCCCAATGGCAGACAATATAGCATAGGAAATTAATATAGATACAAAAAAATCAGTTTTATTTTCTAGTTTTAATAACTAAAACACAAATTTAGATTATAGACAAAAAAGCTTATGTAAAAAAAGAACTTTTATTATATATTTGTAATAGCATAGATTTTTTTCATAACATACAATAAACATAATTTTAAACAGAAAAACTATTATTTATACGTTATGATTACTGTATCAACTGTGCACACTGCAAAGACAAAAAAGTCGATTTGAACAATAAAAAGTGAAACACGTTTACAAAATTAAGAGTAAGCAGGACATATTTCTTGTTTTGTACTTTATAATAATAAAAAAGCATGGTCAGCTTTTTGACTTGAAAAACTAGATTTTGATACGGGAAGCATCAAAAACTAGTTTAAACTGTCAGAAACATAAAAAGATTTTGTAACAAATGGAAGATGTATGCAGTTTTATAGCATAGAATTAAAATTACATTTAACTGAGACATAACTAAAACTATTTTCATTAAAAAGAATAGATTTCAAATATTAATAGGGTTGCATTTAATGTTTCAAGACAGGTTTCTGACATGACAGTTTTAAGCCACAAGTCAGGTGACGCCAACCCTAATTAGCCTGCCCGTAAAGAAATCTCCAAACAAAAATAAATAACGAAAAAAAAAACAAAAAACAATAGATTAATAAAACATTCATCTTTATGAATTTAAGAACTTTGTACATGTCCCTGAAAATTCAGATGTGGGAAAAGTTTTTAAATAATGCACTTTTATGAGAAAAATCCAAGTTGAATGAGTTGAAATAGAGCTTTTATGTAGGAAACCAGTTCCATTGATTTAAAAAAAGTGTTTCTTTTCAATGAAAAGTAGAAGACACTTATCTTTGCAAAATCATGCCACACACACTAATAAGGACGAGATCCACCTTGACCCATCATGGGAAACGATCCTCCCTGTGGAAACATAGACTGTCCACTGTAGGGTGAACCCATTCGAGGCATGCCTCCACCAGACATATCTGAAACAAAATATAATTTATGAATAGATATTGACGTGAGAAATCTGACAACTTTTTAGGAACAGAGTTGTTACAAGTCGGCAATTTTCTATCATGCTTGGTGTAATAATTTCGTTGATAAAGTACATAAAGAGAGTAAAAATTTAAACTGTTAAGTAAAAAGAAATGAGAATTCAGAGTAACTAAAAATTAAAGCATTGCATGGAAAAACAATGCACTTTCATTATTGTTATTGATATTTCATGCTTTTTGGTCATTTGGTAATCAGATTGGGCCACACAGATTATGTGATTTGAAGGGAGTTTGTACACTCTAAATAGGTAATGTTGAGAGGCCAAATTTCATGCATCTTTTTTAGAAAAACTAATTACGATGGGAATCTGAAATCTTGTGTGTACATTACAGACATACTTGTATTTACTTTAATAAAAATTTGTCGGCTTGTATCATTGTTTTTTTTTTAGACAATTCTTAAATAAGATGCTTTCTTTAATTGGTAAAATTATATGATTTTCTAAATGCATATAAAAAAGTGTTATGGATATCAATAAAATTATACTAGAGAATAAATACATACACATGCCAAACATGAGATAAAATTAAGGCATATTTACTGCATATATTTTAAGAAAAAGGCACGCAAGTGGTAAAAAACATTCTCTTCGATAATGCAGCTCTCACTCACTCACACACACAGATATATATATATCAATAACTTTTAAATTAAAATCACATGGCACAGATACAAAATTTGAAATGTAATAAAATGTCTCACATAATATTTAATAAGAAAAAAAAGTAGATTTAATGAAAAAAGTTGATTAAAAACACAAGTTAAACTGACTTGTTAAACTAATAAGTATCCTGTATTATTATTAATTCCAAAACATTTTTTACACACTAGAGAATCACAAGCTCTACTTATTGTTATAAAATAATTTACATACTCGGTGGCATTCCCATTGAAGGCCTCATCATCTGCATACCATTCATCATTACAGGATTCTGTAAGCCTTTACCACCCATCATTGGTGGCATTCCAGGTAAGTGCATTATATATTTAGGCATAATGGATCGCTTTTCTTCCTGAAAATGATGAAAAAATATATCCCAAAATGAGATAAATAGATAGTGTTGGAACATGAAAAGCAACCTTTTAAGATCAGTTAATATGAAGGACACATTCTTTGAAGCAGGCAGAGAAAATTCTAACCAATAAAATTTTTCAAACACGTCAGACAGGTTGCTCTTTCTTTTTATTCCCCTTTCTCTGCTTTATCAAAACGTTTCAGTCTTATTACAATATTATTTTATTATAGGTTTGGTTACAGTATAGATATACAACAAGGATAGAGACTTCAAAGAAAAGGGATTATATATTAATGCAATACACAACACAAACAGGATGGAGCCTCATAACTGTTTTGTTTTGAAAGCTTGTTTGCCAAATAGGCCTCGTAAGTAAGATGATCTTCAAAGCAAGGAAAGGGGTTCAACAGATTCTATTACGTAATAAGCTTTGCTTCGTGCATTTATGAGGAAAGATAAACTTCTTTGCATGCTTCAGAACCAGTTTGATTGTGTATATTTAGAGTAAAGGACAGGCTTTTACGAGAAAATATTTACATTTTGGCTTTTGAGCTTAGCATAGAACAAAATGAAAATCTGACTAGTTGTCTATTATTGTCTACAACATTACAATTATGAAAATGTATGATGACACAGAGTGAATAGGTAAATGAATGTAACAAGGGAATTATTAATGAATGAGTTCATCAATTTGAGAAAAACAAATAAAAAAGCGTTTAACTTTTTCTACTCTGATGTGGCCTCTAACTGGACATCAAATGTCACTACTGTGCTAAAATTTAATGTTTTTATAACTTAATATTTTATGACTTATTTGATACATAAAATTATTGTATTATGTATTTTAGACGATTCAGCGCTTATATTAGTTTACATTGAATTTTACAGTACTCGGAAGGCAAAGGGTTAAACCTATAAAGAGTTGACAACATTTTTTTCCTTTTAATAATTTCAATTTATCATCTATGTAAAAGCTAACAAGTGAATTGTAGCTTGTACTAATTGTTACTGACCCATAACAATCGTGGATTAAAAAATTAGGTCTTATTTATGCACAATAATACTCAGGAAAATGTTTCTTACCAGAGAAACATCTTCATCTGGATGCATTATTTTACTTGATGCAGTACTAGTTTGGCTTGGAGGAGCAGTACACAGGCGTTTTGCGTCTGGGTTGGTTTGAGGACTCAATGAAGCTTCTAAACAAAACAAAATGTTTTTTTATTATCAAAATATAGTAAGTAATAATACTATATTATATAAAAGAGATTTCAATCTTGCAGCTTAAAGAAATTATATATTAAAAAAAAAAAAAAACATTATATTGAAATGTGTTTACACACCTTTAATATACTCTTCTCTAATGCAGTTCTAGCTTTTCATATTTTAATATAAATACTACTAGGTTGTATATGGAAAGGCTTTTTTAACAATTCAAATTTAGCTTTAATTTTTACATGAACAAAGCAGTGCCCAGATTATAAAAAATTAAAAACAAAGCATAATTTTATTCCCGTATAAGAGACTAGAATCACATAAAGATATTAAAAAAGTTTGCTTAGAATGTGATATGATTAGACAGTTGAAATTTTATAAAAATTTAATGTTAGAAAATGAAGCCGCATGCCATATCATTTGAATAAAAAAGAAACCCACCTATTACTCTTATACTAATTGTGAAAAGTAGATTTAGGTGCAGTGCAGTAAATATTGTTTAATAGCTTTACATGAGGAAGGAGAAAAAAACCTAATTACATCCATCACTTACAAAACAATATATGCCTTTGCAGAAGTAATTTTTACTTATATAAAAGGATCTGATTGTTAATAGCTACAATGAAAAAGTTCATAAAGAAAAAAAAAACTTTAAAAAATCAATGTAGTTTTAATGATGTTAAAATATCAAACTTAAAATGTTCCTACTTACCTGCACTGTAAGATACTGGTACTCCAGAATGAGACTTCATAGAAGCTATAAAAGGCAGCAACATAAAAAGTCAATTAAAAATAAGAGAAAACAATAATTAACTACATATCTAATAGTAGGATTGATTCAGATCATATTATTAGAGTTACTTTATAGTGCAAAACTGTCTACGTTATTGACTTACTATTGTTCAATATTGATTTAATATTTTCTCTTCAATCTGAATCCTCGTAGTTGCTAATAGCAAAGAAATAATCTTCTCCTAAACCTGATTGCATATATGTGTTATTAATTTAGTCTCTACATAGTCTTACTATGGGCGTCACTGTCATCTGGTTTTTGAAATGGACAAATAAATACACAGAATAGTTCTCTAAATTTCACTTGTGAATTTCTTAATTTTTATTTAACTAAAATGAATTTACATCAATATAAAATCAGAAAAATTTTGTCTACTTACCTGAAATATTCAGGGAGACTTAAAGAGATTTCCAATTATTGAGGGGGACATATACTAATTAACAAAAAGTACCACACTTCTTTTAGATATTTCATGACCATTAAAAATTTAAAAAAACTTTTTAATTTCTTCTTTTAGAAATGACTTATTGTCCAAAATTAGCATGGACGCATAGTATAGAATAAATTGCATGTATGTGTTAATAATTTAGTTTCTACATTGTTTTACCATGGACGTCACAGTCATCTAGTTTTTGAAATGGACAAATTAAATGAACAGAATAGTTCTCTAACTTTCATGAGCGTAAAAAGTAAAATTTTTTTACTCCATCTGCTATAAGATTAATCTTCTTAATTTATTGAATTAACCTAATTGAATTTAAATCAAGGAAAAATCAAGCAATTTTTCTAGATTTGTTTGAAATATTTAGGGGGACTTTAAGAGATTTCCAATTATTGAGGACGATATATACTCACTAGAGGGTGGTTACTCAAATCAGATTTCAAATTTCCCTGATTTTTCCAGTAAAAATCTTAAAATTTCCAGGTCAGTGTGCTATTTTTTTTTTTTAAAAATCATAAAGCGTAGGTGGGTACAAGAAAAGTGTCAAGATTATGAAGTATTTTATTAAAAATGTTATTTTTAATATATCATATTGAACAGATGCGGAGAAAATATGTCTAGCTTGTAGAATGTACTGTTTTTAATCAATAAAAAACGTTTTAAAGTGCTAAGTAATTTTTGCACAAAATGTACCAAATAGCAAATACAGAGGGATCCCCCCAAAAAACCTTGGATAAGTACTGTTTAATAAAATATTTTCATTAAGTAAAAGAAAATAATCCCAGGTGATTATACATCAATAAATTTTTATATCTTTACATTTCAATATAGAGCCATTTTATTCTGTATTTTATCCAAACAGTGCTTTTTAAACAATGCATTGATATAATTTTTTTAAAAACCAAATCCGTAGTCAAATGTTTAAATAATGTTGCTTGGAATTAGCATTATTATTTTAAGAGATATCCAGTATTCGCAAAGACAAAATTGTCAAATTTCTTGTTGCATATTCTATAGAAATAAATTTTTTTTTCTTATTAGAATATTTAAAGAATTTCAATCTAACCACATGGTTTCTTAGTTTAGATTAGTTAACTGTTTTTTTGTTTTTGTTTCTACAACTGGGTAATTCCATGGTGTCGGACATAAAAAATGAACATGAATTTCTTAGAAAAACTATCTTATGAAACATAAGTTTATAATCATCACATTTTTATATTAAATATTATTACACCATAACAACAATTTGTTTGATAAAAACTGATTATAATAAGTTCAAATTAAATGGGTTAAATTGTTGGTGTTGAATGTAAATCGCACAAAAGCAAAAAATTATTATTATTATTCATTTCCAAATTGTCTGAACTCTGTGAATTTATAATTTAAATGTAAACTTGACTGAATTTTGAAGCTGACATTTGAATAAAAATTTTATGCAGTTCCTCACTTGCAAAATATGATAATTAATTTGAAATTTTTTACTTCAGTGTCAGACAAATTTTTTAAGTTGGATATAAATTTTAGTTAAAGATAGCCATTATAATGACTGAAAATTACCTTAATTTTAATCTCAATACTATAAAAATTATTTTTCAATTAAATAGCTTCTTTAAATTGTCTTCTATTTCCTGTTGGAAGGGATGTATCAATGTCTTATATAGCATTTTTCATTTTGTAAAAGTTAGTTGAAAATCACTCATTTTAATTGTGCAAGTATATCAACAACAATGTAAATAAAAATCATACTTAAGCAATATTTCCTTAAATATTATAATTTTAAAAATCTTGGAATAAAAAAAACTGCAGCTGAATTTTTCTTCTTCTTTTTTTTTAAAAAAAATATATAGAAGAATGCCGTTTAGTTTCATTATCTTTAAAATCTTCTGAAAAAATGTCACCATATGTTAAAAGGAAAAAAGTAACAATATTTTACTGTATTATTAGCCCATAAGATTTTTTTCTGGGAAAAAAAGATTGCACAGGAAAAATGATAATTTAATAGCTTTATTTATGGCCAGCATAAAATTAAATAATCGTTTTGTACTGTTCACACAATCTATTGTATTTGATGTTTCAAAGCAGACGATAGAAAACAAAATACCTTTTACTTTTATTTAATGGCATAACAAGAAAGAGCATATGTACCCGGTTGTAGCAGTAGCATTAGAGATGTGCCAAATTGATGAGAAATTATAATTAAATTAATTATAAAAATTCTAGAATAAATTTTAAAATTTTAATCTCTTTTTAATACCCCCTCACCAGTTTCATTTGCCAATTTCTTTACTAAAAAAAATAAATAAACAAAAATAAATAACTACAGAATATTCTTAATTTTTTTCTTCTCTAAATACATACATTTTTCAAGCTTTAAGCAAAATGATTGATTTGATTTAAAATGTTCTAAATGAAGTTAAATTTTTTCACAAACAATTAAAACTGAGTTGTCAAATAAATTAATAAAATATAAAAATATATAAAAACTTCATTGATCAATTTTAAGTTATAATATAAATAACTTAAAGCACAGCATAGTTAAACAAATTTTATTAGGTCACTGTGGGGAAATATATTATTGTAAATATATTAATAACCCAAAGGAATATTTAGATGGTTTCTATTCATATTTCCCTTCATTTATAAAGAAAAAATGACATGGAAATAAATAAAAATACTTATTATTAAAATCTTGCTTTAAAGCAGAAAAAGTAATTTTATTATGTTACATCCGAGTAGCACAGTACAATTAATTATGTATTTTGGTGACACACGTAAAATATCAAAAGAGTATCTTGAGAATTTTTTTTATAAATCAAAATGTGAAATGTTTCAACACATTTGAGCAAGATAGCTTGTTTTCTTACAGTTCACTTTAATTATTTATTTTTTCCATTTTCTATTATTCATGTGAATTTTTAAAAAAAATTCTGTACTTTGTAAGAGATTTACTTACCATGGTAATGATGTAACCTTTCATTTCCTATAACTTATTGAAAACTGATATTTATAAACCATTATTTCGAAATCTTCAATTTTTCACTTCAGAAATGATACCTTGTTCACTTATTATTAAATATATAAATTTTGTTCACCTGGATACCTACCTTGAAACCTGCACAGTATAATTTTTTTTTTTTTTTACTTTCTTTGTAATAAACAAATATAAAATTTTTTGTTATATTCTAAGTTTATACATCATTTAAAACGTTTTCCATGCATTCCCTGGTTTTGCCAGCTTTTTAAGGAAAAAGGAGAAACAGTTTCGGAAATATCATCTTTGGAATGTAAGCATATTTACGAACTTTCGACATTGTGATTAATACACAATTAAAATTTTGAATTAAAAATCAAATATTTACCAACAAAACAGTAAAATTTAATGTAAACATCTAGGTTTGTAAAAGAAACTTTTTTAAAAAATAAAATATGATATAAAAGGTTAAAATGAAATCCAGAAAATTAGCATTAATGCAACAATTGTAACGATTTTGCTGTCAGTGATTCAAGAAAATGAGTGATTAATTGGAGTTGATGATAAAAAATAATTTATCAAATGGGAGTACAAAAGGTTTTGGAAAAAGAGTGCAAGATAAAATCGATTATTAAATTATAATCAATTATATTTTGGAGAATTTTATCAAGTACAGTAGAGCGCCGATTATCCGAACTGCTCGGGACCGAACGTGGTTCGGATAATGAAAAGTTCGGATAATTGGAAAGTTGTTTAAAATCTAGTTTAAATGATTATTATTTATGCACTAACTTCCCTTCACACTTTTTCCAGGTTTAGGACTGGCAGTACCATCGAAAATAGCTCTGTTTAAAAAAAAAATTCAATTTTTAAATATTTTTATTTAATTTTTTTAATTTTGAATTTTTTTAAATCATACTTCAGCTATTTATAATTTTTTTTTTGTCAATTGCTGATTTTACCACATTTTTCTTTATTTTCCATTGAAAAAGAAATCCAGCAAAGACTTTCGTTTCAAAGATGCTCTTTTTTGAGCAGCGATATACCTTATTCTTTTTAAATAAATTAACTGAACATCAACATCATTTTGTTACGAACTTTCAATTAACTGAACATCAACAACATTGTTCTAGCCAATTCATTGCAATATCTAATGAATTGCAAGCTTCTATATGAGAAGGTTCACTATCTTGAACTTGATCATCTATTTGTTCCTATTCGTCTGTGGAGTTTCGATTTTCTTTCAAAATTTCAGCAAACAATTTCATCATCATTTAAAATTTGAAATTCTAGGACGTTTTCAGTGTCTCGACACCAGCCTTCCATTTCTTCTGCTGCATAACCTGACATCTCTTCAACCGGAAGATCTACTGGCTCAGAAATTTTTAAAAATTGTTGATAAGTCAAAAATTATTCTAAACTTTAAAAAAAAAAAAAAAAAAAAAATGGATAATTGGACGTTCGGATAATAAGGGTTCGGATAATCGGCGCTCTACTGTATACTTAAACATTTTGTTAAAAGAAAAAAAAATGTCCCCAAAGCATCAGAGCAAAATTGAACAGTAAATGAATTCAGCTTGCAGACTGGAAGATGAAAAAAAAAACCCTTTTTTATTAAATGAAGCAAATATACTAACCCCTTCTTCCACCTCAGCCACAATATTTGCCTTTCCTTAACTGCATAGTCCCATAATCTCCAAAGAGGTCAAAAATTTCTAAAGTCATTTAGCAACAAGGGTGTTAAGAATATTCGTATCCAGAAGCGCTCGAGCAGCGCCCCCTATGTAATTGAAATGAATGAAGCACATTAAATCTTGAGTGTCTGTGTTAATATGTATATGTTTCTGTTACGTCCGAATAAATGTTTCTAAAAGTAACAATTCGTTTGTCAATTTCGAAAGTGAATAGTTTAGTAACAATAGGAGAGTTTTACATGGCATTCTAGTTTAGTACGGTAATAATGGAGAGAAATTTAATGCAAGCAAAGTATTGCTAAGTTGATAATACAGTACGACCTCGAAAATTCGGACTCTTACATCCAGTTCCAGACCTGCCAACCTTAGAAAATAAAAAAGCAGGAGACTCTGTATCACGACATAGGAAAATATTGAAAATTCAACCTTATTCACATTTCCTACAAGAAGTTTAATTCAAAATATATTATTTACATTACATAAAATAGACCACAATGAGATTCTGACACTGACTAATAAAGATATGTGTTCTTACTATAAAATATAAGGTTCTATAGAATTATATAAAAACACATCTTTTGATTTTTTAAAATTTAGGAAGAGGTTCAAAATTAACAAAATATGTCAATAATGAATACAACTTTATAAATGTATGTCTTATTATTTTTTTAATAAAAAAAAAAAACTGCTACTGTTTTAAAACTGCAGATGTTGCTGATTTAGCATTATTTAAAAAAAAACTGCCATCTATAGAAAGTGAAAAAACATTTTGCCCAATGGTATCAAAGATATATTTCCTCTCCGATTTTGCCATTTCATCGGTTATTGTTGTTGTTTTGGTTCGTGCACACTACCGTAATTTTTAGCGATGTTGATATCCGGGATAATTTTTCTAAATAAATGCCCAGCATGATCTGAAGCACAAGTTGGGAAGGAAATTGCACAAATTGTTTCCCCCCCCCCTCTATCGTGCACTAAATAGAAAAAAGCAGGAGAAAACACCCTGAAAGCCTGAGGGCGGAGATTTGAGGAAAAAGCAGGAGAGTTGGCAGGTTTGCAGTTCGATAGAAAATTTTTTCAAAAATAAATAAATAATCGCTTAAAATAAAAATTTAAATGTAAGAGCGCAAAATCGCAACTCTACTCCAACAATGAAGCAGTAGAAGAAGAGGTAGGGAGTGAATATCACAGCTATACGCAGTTATCAGCTCATAGCTGATAAGGAAATGAGGTTATCAGCTCATAGCCAGTTATTCATATCAGCTCTGTATAGATAACAAAGAATACAGAGGGGGATTCCCCTCTACATTCTTCTATAGATAAGGCGTGCAGGAGGAGGAATTCTTCTACAACCTTGTTTCCCCCCTTTGTGAACCTTGAAGCTTAGAACGTGGGGACAAGTTCTTTCATCCCCCAACAAAAAAAGGATTAATATCAGCTGGTACAGTCTAGTCTAGAAGCATCTGTTTCAGTTATAAGTTGAAATTCAGCTCACGTTTTAAGCCTATATTTTTAGTTTTAAATGCTAATATTATGTTATCTAAGCGATCAATTACTGTGAAAAATGACGAAAGTTTGATTTTTTATGTCTCTTATTTACTGTTTAAAGCGTATATTTATGTTAAGTTGTTAAAATTGACGTCGGAGGTCTACACAGGCGAAACCGGTCTGGCGAATTTGAAATTTCGATAATTCTATCAATTTAAGTAAGGTATCTAAAATCCGGACCTTCCAACCTCCCCAGCAGTCCAGATTTTCGAGGTTGCACTGTATTTCAACTGTCTGATGATAAATTTCCACTCGAATAAAGTGGATACAACGGATGGTAAAATAATTTAAATTAAGAAAAAAATTTCAGCTTTTCGTTCAAATTCAATTTCCAGATTTTTCCAGGTTTTTTTTTTATCCAAAATTCCCCGATTTTTCTAATATTTATAAAAAAAAATTCCTCATAATTAAAGGTTTTCAAGGTGGGTGACCATCCTGTACCAACAACACCCATGTTTTACCAACAAAAAGAGAACCCCACTTCTTTTGGATACTTTATGACCATTAAAAATTTTAAAAAACTCTTTAATTTCTTCTTTTAGAAATGACTTATTGTCCAAAATTAGCATGGATCAGAACAAATCGTATAAAATAAATAAAAAAGTACCTGACACATTAGGTGAGGAACTTCCACTATAAGCAGGAAATGTCGGTCTCGATGACATCGTCATCAGAGGTTTAAAATCTGTGCCCACAGGGGATTGTGAAGATGATGTTGATGTCTAAAACAAGAGAAAGGGACAGTACATTCAATAGCATTAGGTTTAGTTATTTTAAACATTAAAGTAAGTGGATAGAAAAAAAAAGTGAAAAGGTACAAATCCTTCTCAACTAATCTGTAACACCATAGACAAACTGTGAAATTGGTCTTTATAGCGTAGAGTAAACTATGAGTATAAAATATTATCCATTGTAGTTCTTTATTTTTAAAAGAAAAAAAATTGTCAGCTGAAAAAAATAATTCTGCAACAGTAAAAAAAAAATATTTAACTTATTTTTTGAACATTCATGCAAATTAACATTAAAATTAAATATTTAATAAATGAAATGAATGATAGTTAAATTGAAAAACTAAATAAAATTAACAATAAAATAAATTTGCATTCTAAGAGTAAAACTAAATTTTTACTTAAATTATAATTTAGATTTGAGCAATATAGCACAAAATATGATAGCAATGGTAATTTATACTCTTAATAAATCATTTTTAAACTTACCTGAGGCATAGCTGAAGGAAATAATGGTTTTGATGGTGCCTGGGTGCTACCTGACACAGTTGATGGTGGCATTATAGGTGCACGGGGCATTCCTGGCGGCATCATTGGCATACCACTGTCAATAAGCATGCAATTAAAAATTATTAACTTTTTTAAAACTAGATTATCCATTTAAATACACACACAATATATATACATATATGCAAAAAAATCACCTAAGCCTTTTTTTAAAATCTAAAAGCTTAAAATGCAGAAAATTCTTGCATTTAAGATAAATACTATAACCAGTTTCATGTTAAAAGATATATGCCCAACAGTTATTGCCCCCAGCAATGATTAATAAATTGTGGTAATAATCATTAGTGGTTATTGATGTAATAGGTATTTAATATACTAATATAAAACCAACACTAAAAAATTCAACAAACTAGTACTGTGGTATGCTGAGTATAAAGCAGCCAGTTTTTCATTTGCAAATTTTCTATTTTGTTATATTTGACTTTAATCATTTCTAAATAAATCATACAATTTATGTTAATCTTAACTGGCATAATAACTATTGATATTGTTTAAGTCAAAATCATGCTTCAGAATTTTTTTTTATGTAGAATTAGTTTTTATTTATTTATTTATTACTTCTCTTTGTGAAAAATGTTGAATATTAAGTATTTCAAAACAAAATTAAGCCCTGATCCCTGATTTTTGGTATTAAAAAAAATTCTTGATTTCTTTTCAGATTGATACAATTTTAAGCTTTTTAGCCATCGTGAAACTTGGCTAAAAAGCTTAATTGTACATTTACGCTTATTGAGGAGGAAAAAAACTAAAAAAGTTTTTTTCCTCCTCAATAAGCAAGGGATATATTTTGTTTAAAAAAAAAAAATTCAAATATTAAATGCACATTCACTGTATTTCGAATTTAAATAGTTATGTAAAAAATAGTTATATAGTAATGTAAATAAATAAAAAAAAAGATATAAGAAAATAATGAAGCTTACCCAGGGGGCATAAATCCAGGAGGCATGCCTAAAGGAAGAGATACAGAAAGAGTATGAAAATTTAAATTCATTACATTGTACAAGAACAGACACATAGAAAATTTTGTTTCGTTTTTAAAAAATAAAATAAAATAAGATGCGTAATTGTACTGTTGACATCCATGAACTAGATATCTGTTTTATATAAAATTGCCTTAACTATATATCTTATTTACCAACATATATCTATAAAAAAAATTATTAACAAGGAATGAATAAATAAGTCACCTAATAGAAAGGTTAATCATTAAGAATAAAAAAGTAAATATTATAACAGTATTATGCTTAAAATAGAAAGATAATCTAAAATAAATAATTCAACACAATAAATGGTAAGACATGTGATTACTGAGCAGATGTTGCTACCAAAGAAAAAAACTTAAAAGAATGTTTTTCTCTTTGTGGTTTAAAAGTATCTTTTTGAAATACAATTAAGAACATAATGACAGAACTAATTAATTAAAGTATTAAAACAGAGAAATAATTCTATCTAAGGTTACATGCCTAGCATCTTATATAATTGTATTGTTGAGAAAAAATTGTATCTAAGGTTACATGCCTAAGGTTATATCTAAATGCAGATTTATAAAATACTAGCGGAATATCCGCTGTTCCTACAGGGTGAATAAAATAAAGAAAATTATCAATAAATCAGTACTGAAAAACACTACCAAATCATGCATAAAACTGAAAAGCATATAGCAACACAATTTACAAACGTAAAATAATTGCAATTCTTTTTTTTATTATTATTGATTGCCATTCTCAGTGGTTTTATGTTATCAAATTAAGTAAAACAAATTTTTTGTAGTTCATCGCAATAAAATCAGGGTAATGATGTTACTTAATCCAAAATATACCCAGAAAGGAAGGTAGGCTTAAAAAAAAATCCGACCTGATAAAACCTAGATGGGTTTTTTTCTCTTCAGATTTACATTTTATTATAAATAAATCAGCCATAGTAGCCATTTCTTATATTAAGATATTTTTTATTCAAAAAGGGAAGACTTTGAGAAAATTCAAATAGGAAGGATGATATTTAATTTTGGAAAACAAATCCTAAAATACTATTTAAGACAATATAATAGCCTCTGGCGCTGTATTAATCAAGCCTACAAGATATTTACAATTAATAGGTAGTATATAAATTTTTTTGTCAAATAAACAAATATCTTTTGTTTTTCCTTTTGTTAGAAAAAAAAAGGAATTCCAGATTTTGGTAGCTATCAAATACCACAATTTAAAGGACAATCCCAAATGGTAAATAATTAATTTTCACCAGTAGGGTGGCCTAATTTTTAAAAATTTGCGGAGAATAATTTAAGGATACTACTCATATTTGTTAAACTACAATATGACCATGACTACTTTCTAACATCATCAATTACTGATATTATTAATGCTTAAAAATCTTAAATAAGAAGTATTACCCTTTATTTTTATAATTATATTTCACCTTTTTAAACTTTGTGATATGGCGGTTTTAAGAGTAAAACAGATTCTACATGAATCAAAAAAAAAAAAAAAAAAAAAAAAAAAAAAAAAAAAAAAAGAAAAAAAAAGATGAGAAATATAAAGTAATTAAATGAATAAAAGCCCACCTTTATTTAAGCCAGAAGATGGTAAGTCTTAAAAGAAAAAGAAAGCACAGTTAAAAGAGTTATTTATATTAGTAGTATTTAGAAATAATACGGATAAAGAAAATGAGAATTAACTAGAAGAATAGAGAGCCAAAAATACACATAAAAACAGTACTTCTTGGTAATCCAGAGTGATATTTTGACTGTAAATATTAATTGATAACAAGAGAAGAACTTTTATTTTCACACTTTACTTTAGCAGGCCTTTTCTCTTGTAATTAATAAATTTTATTTTTGCATTTATATTTTTTAAAGCAATAAGATACATCAGGATAATAAATAAAGACAATAAAACTTTATTTTGCAAAAACAATTTAATAAATAAAAGTATAATTTCGATGTACTAGCAACAGCATGATACTATCAATTATTATCAATGTTGGGTTCCTATAAATTTTTCATAATTTGTTTTTCTATCTAATAAATAAATTTAAATTTATTATCTAAATAGATTAATTATACATTAAAAGATAAAATTATTATTTATACATTAACATACTAAACGATTAATTATACATTTGTAACTCATGTTAACTTTAAACAGAATTTAAACAATATTCATAATTTTATAGTAACAGCATTACGTTAATGTTCGTCCTCAATACTTTATTCTGTAGCTCACTTGCCTGCCCAAAAATGGTTGAACATTCTTATTATAGGTAGTGTCTTAATAGTATTAGTTTTATTCTAAAGATAAACAACATAAAGCTAGAATTTGATATAAAAAAACCCCCATTAAATCTCTATTTGTACATAGATCTTAATTTTTTTTAAAAAATAAAATTTAAAATGGAACAAACTAGAGCACGGTGTTACCTAAAACTTATGAAATTTTAAATAAATTCCTTACCCATTGGCCCCATAGGTCCAAGTGGAGACTGTCCTGGCATCATGGGAAATCCCATACCAGGCATTCCTGGCATCATTCCAGGAATAGGTGGCATGCCGGGCATCATGCCCGGCATGGATGGCATTCCTGGCATAGTTGGTCCAGATGATTTGTCTGGAAGACCAGAGGAATCTTCATCATCTGAATTTCTAACCTCTACTGCGAATAGAAAAGTTCATATCAATACTTATTTAGAAAATAATTAAAATAAGAAAAAGGTTTTATAAACATTATTGCAAAATATAAGCAAATATGCATAAACACAATAAATTAAATTTGTTTAACCTACTTAAAGTGAAACAAGCTTAAGTCTAAATGTTTCCATCTTACTCAAGTAAAAATATAAAAGTACAGAAATTTCCAGTAAAGAGGCCGCAATATTGTACATGGGACGCCTATTTAAAAATTGCTGAATTTTTTTATTTATCACTACATGAGTTATTGTAAACACTACAATTCCATTTTTGGATACTATTAACAAGGCTCTCAAAATACTTTAACCAAAGAAAAAAAAGGAAAGAACAGTTTGTAGTTGAAAAGAAGACTTAAAAGGACCAATTAAAAAGGGAACTTAGGAAGAACATTTAGTTATAGAAACCACAATAAATTATTAATAGTTAGTCTTCTTGACAAAAATATTAAAAAATAATTAGCTAAGCAGAATTCATTTCGATGCAGAATCCTACTAACAAGATATAAAATGTATAATATAATGTAACAAGATATAAATGTACAGTAACTCAGTAATTTATTTTAAAAGTACACAGATTTTAAAAACTGCTTTGAAATTTTCAAAATTAAAGAAAGTTCTAATTTTTTTTTAAAATAAAAAGATTCGCAGATGAAAGATTGAATTAATTTATGTGTAAGTTTTCAAACCTTACTCATAATTATCACTTTATTCATAATGATAGAAAAATGGAAAAATTACAAAAATGGAAAATTTATTAAAAAATAAACAGGTTAGAAAATGTTCCCTAGTTTGAAAATAAAATTTAATCTTAAATAATATAAGATTCTATAATAATAATTTTAATATTTCCTTGTGCAAATAAATAGTAAAAAAAGTTTAAATAACTTTCAGGAAAAAATAGTCTCAAAACAATCATCAAAATTAAATTAGCATGTTTGGTTTCTTAATCCACCACTTTGACAAATCTGATAACATTGACAGGGAAGACACTAGGCTTTCAAAATCCCGGGTCCCTGGGACCCATGACTTTTAAAAAACTGGGTCCTTTTGAAAAAAAATGGGTCCTTTACATAAATTTTTAAACAAATATAATCTTTCTGAAAAATACTTAATAGATTATTAGTACATGAATTATAACAATTATAATGCTGTAATATGCTAATATTGAAATATAATAGAAAAATAAAATAAAACAAAATCTAAATTTATGTAAAATATTTTTATTAGTGTGCTTCCCTCTCTACTTATTTACACTGCTTCCCCCTCTACGTATTTTACAAGACTGAAATATCTTATGTGCTCTTATAATTACATCTTGGGAATTTGACATATCTGGCCCTTCAAGTGTAATCATCATTAATGTTTTCAGTTTTCCTTCAGATATCCTATTTCGAGCACATGTCTTTATTCTTTTCATGGCTGAAAAGCCTCTCTCAGCATCAGCTGATGAAATTGGCAATACTGAGGCTATCTTTGCTAATTTAGAAAATTCTGGAAATTCATCACTATACTGTTTGATGAAGATTCTAAGAAAGTCTTTCATACTCATAGATTTAAAGTTTAATACGATCTGTTTAAAATACTGAAAGTTATTTTTAAGTTTATCACCAGAAATCAATTCTCCAAATGTTCTAATCAATAAATCAATATCTTCTGACCCATAATTCAGTAATTCCTCTGAATTC